ACATCCTTTGAACAAAAGGACTCAAGGTCCGAAGGCTTGACAAGAACATTTTAATTTTTTGAAAATTAAAGAGGACCTACCGGTAGAAGATCAACGTCCTATCGATAAAACAGCTCATTGGAATTCTTTTATCGGTAGTTAATCAATGTTCTACTGGTAGAAGAGCCCATTGGAATTATTCTACCCGTAGAAAATCAACGTTCTACTGGTAGAAGAGCTCACTAGAAAACTTCTATCGAAAGGTACTCAATATTCTACTAGTAGATCATCTCAATTTTCCCCCGATTCAATCCTTCTTCAACTCCAACTCTTCCAATCTCATACAACAACCACCCAACCTCATATAACCTATCATTTTATACAAAAAATTGTCCATACAAGTTTGTTTCACTATCCTTTACACAATATTACATGTCCAAAAACTAAATTACATATTTGTTTTAAAACGTAATTTAAAGCCACATCTCGGACTTTCTCCATCAATAAGAACTCAAGTGAGAGCCATCCACCAGCACTTGTCCAGCACCTAAAATGTTGTCCCCAAAAAGGCTGAGTCACACTCAATAGGGTATCTTTGAAAGAGGCTACTCTCCAACTAGATGCATATGAAATGCTCACATGCAATTCAACAGTCAACAAACAACCCTTCTAAGAATATGCAATTCATAATGGAATTCTCTATGTCATGCTATGTTATGGGATGAGACTCGCACATGCAACTTAACCCGAGCCTTCATCGGCTCACATAACACATGCTATGTCATGCGTATGAATTTGGGCATGTCAAGCCCCCTACCATTGATGTTACACATCCAATGACTATCAAAACTCTGGGGTCTCTTTTGGGGTGGATATTTATGGGTTTCCACCAACTGACACCCAATTGGCACGACATTCATTGACTTCCACCAATGGCTCTGTATACGCCGACACACTTTATGGACTCTATACCAAACAGAGTACGTATCCAAATCACCAGGTCTTGCACTAGGGGGACAGTCTAGCCCTTCTTACTAACCCTGACCCTATTTTCAATGCAAACTCGTGTGACTCAATCAAACCTTGGTCCAACTTTCTCAAGTCCATGAATCATCCACCAATAATGGTGTTTGATCAAACCTTGCACACACCCACACTTATGTCACATGCCCATGAATGCAATATTTCATGTGCATATGCAAATGTAATGTACAATTGCATTTTTCAATATGAAGTTCAACATGTCATGAGCACATTATGAAGAAGGCTCAATATCAATCAACATTTTCCTTGGTTAATTACACCATAAGCATATAACTACCATCAACAACCTCCCTAGAGCATGTTATAACATTGCCAATGTAATTAACACACTTAATCAATATAGGCATTTCATCAAACACTTTCAATGCATAAATATTAACACATAACACGCCTCTTCACCACATATCTCAAGAAATCACAAACAAGTAGTTTAAATAACTCAATTTTTGCTAGAATTGATTTTAACCATTCTTCTACCCATTTTCTACATTTCAACTACCATAGGTATGTACCACATATGAGATTACATCTCTAACACCCTACCTATTTTATATTTCAACCATAGGTTAGAAATAAACCTAATTATGAAAGGAACCATACCTCTAGAAGCGTAATTCAAATAGTAGAAAACTCCCAAGAACTCAAATCAACCTTTAATCCTTGATTTCCAAATTCTTGTCTTTGAGTCTTCGTCAAACCTATGATTTTTGGTATATAGACGTAGCCCTCATTGAGTAGATGAACTTTGGTTGTTGTCCTGAAGGATTTTAACTAAGGGTTGGCCCTAAATTGCAAGAAGAAGGCTTGAAGAAACCCTTGTTTTCTCTCTCTTCTTCTCTCTCTCTCTTTTCTGGAAATCTGATGGGTAATGGGGAGAAAATCTGATTTTCTCTCATATTTATGCCCCTTAGATACTTGGCCCTCATTGCGCCACACGTCCGCCTTTATTGGTTCTGATTTTATCCCAAATTAATTAAATCTCGTCCCATTTCAAGTTTAATATATTTTTATTTGAACTAACTTTAAATTATTTTTCACATTTCGCCATTAATTTTTGATCGCATTTTTTTTTACTACGCGACACCCGACTGCGTAGTAAAATGCAAAAAATCAGACTCTTGAAATTCAATGAAATTGACTGGGTAACTAGATTTCGCGAGATGAATTAAACAGTGATTTGTGTTTCATCATCTGAGTTCTAGAAAATTTGGGTTTTCAACCCGTACTGTGGCAGTTAATTACCATTTTGCCATTTTTCATAAAAATTTTAATTTTTTTTGGATTTTAGAACAACAAAATAAGAACAATGAAACTCCCTAAGAATATCCTCTTTTAGATCCGTAGAATGAGGAACCATAACCCTCCCCCTGAACCAAAGAATACATCGACGTGAATGACCCAGCCATTGCCACCCATATCCAACTATACCCGGTCCCTGATGGACAATATCTCTAATCCTACCCATAGGGCTCGATCACTCTACTCAATAAGGAAGGCATAGCTACCCGATTTCTCAAGATACCGTGATCCTAATCTCTGTAATGCTGCCCGAACTGTCTCATAGTCTTGAGCATCTAGCACTCCCGAGAAGCTATACTAGCCAAGACTCCACATGACTTTCAACTAAGTGCATTAGCCACCACATTTGTCTTACTAGGATGGTAATACAAAGTGAAGTCATAGTCCTCTAGGTACTCCATCCACCTGCGCTGTCTCATATTGAGGTTTCGCTGTGTAAAGACGTATTTCAGACTCTAGTGGTTTGAAAAACATCTCGAACTGCTCTCCATATAGATAGTGGTGACATGCCTTCAAGGCAAAGACAAAAGGATTATCCAATTCGGCTCAATTTACCTTATAAAATATTCAAATACTGAAAATCAACCAAATCATAAAACTAAAGGATTATCCCATTAATATACCAGAATCAGTGCAAATCGACATCAATAATACAATACCTCACATATGAACAAGTTACATAATCCAACCAATCATTAAACAAAATATACAAATGAAAACATGAACAAGTGCATACCAAGCCAGATCATAGAACCACAAACTATACAATAGTATTTACAAATTATATCCCCATCGAAACTCATGTGTAGTGTGGAAACCTCCTTATATGCTCAGAAAATCAATAAAAAATATAGTACTTCTCCATTATCCACTGCTAGCTTTGAATCAATCCTCACTCAAGTTATACTCTCAGCAATCAACTCACTCAGATTGTACTGACTAATTCTCTTATTCTTACATTTATAAGTAGAATTTTCTTAAAATTGAACCTAAGTATATGTCACATATGTTTATAATCAATGAACACTATCAGGAAAATAATTTAGCATAGTCTCATGATAGGAAATCAAAACATAATACTTAACACAGCTACCAACATCCTCATCCATACAGGTCATGCATCTCTAACAGCTCTTGAGATCAATTAGGTTTTTTTTTTCTAAGGTTGTAATAGGGCCTTGGGTAATGGTTTACAAAATCAAAGGGAAATAATAATTCAAAAGACTACCCCGAGAAAATTTGTAGCCCCCTATTTATTGACATAAACTTTCAAAACTTCCTTATACATATGATTTTTCTTTCTTTTTCTAAATTTTTTTCTTCCTTTCATTCATCTTTTTTTTTTTCAAACGTACACACTTCTTTCAGCAAGTCAAACACTTTCAATCATATAATTGTATCAAAGATTCACGTTTTTTTTTCAAAAAGTCTTACCCACATATTCCCTTGCACAGTCACGATACCACTAAATCTCAGGATCACCAAAGGTAAGGATATTGTATCATACTTAGCTTGGTTGTTGTATATGAGTTAAGAAACAAATTTCATCAAAAGGCTCAATCATGACTTCTAAGGATAATAAAAGGCTCAAATAATAATAAAGATGGCCTAAAATGATGTCTGAAGTTATTTTTTTAGTAACACACTCTTCTATGCAAATAATTCAAAATCAAGCAACCATTTCTTATATCTGTATTGATCAAAACAAAATTAATTAAAATATTTAAGAAATAAAGCTAAATAAAATTGTTTTTATTGAGTGAATGTAAATTTCACTCAAAAAATGAAAGGCTCGAAACTCACAAGGGACATCTTACTATTTTCCACTATATGTGTCAATTTCAAAGTATCATATCTTCTAATAAATTCTAACACAATTAAGGTTGTATGTGCACATATTTTCTAAGTTTCAATTGGGAAAAAAAAATCTAGGGTTAATTGCGGTTGTGATCGCCAAAGTATCAATTTTGTCTTATTTTGGTCCCCAACGTTCTAATTGCATCAAGTTGGTCCCTTATGTATTACATATGCACTTACCTAGTCCCTACTGTTGACGTCGTCCAAAATTCTAATGGTTTATAACCATGTTCCATCCGCGTGACCATATGTGAGGGGCTTATGTGACATTTAACCTCCCATTTCTGTTAGTTAAATTGACAGATTGACTCTTCAATATCTTTATATCTTTTGCGATTGTCCCTCTGTTCTGCAAGTTGTTTGATTTCAATTAGGGAAAAGCACCATTAGGGCAAAGCACAACACCATTAAGGCAAAGCACAACACCATTAGGGCAAAGCGCAAAGATGGTACGTTTCAAACGAAGGAACACTGGGAATCAATATGTAGATGAAGACATTCCCTATTATGGCATGTATTCATTCTTATAGATTTGAATCTGAGGTTCATGGGCAAGCCTAATTTTTAAAAGTCAGTATTCAATAATATATAGTTTATGTGTTTGTTCAAAACCATTTATTTATGCAAAAAAAATTATTAGTTATATTTTATAGTTAATGTGGTCATTGGAAACTCTTTGTTAACTAATAGTTTTTGTTTTAGTTGAAATATTTTATAATTGATGTGGTCCTTGAAGATCAGTTGTTTATTTAAGGTTTTTTTTTTGACAATATTTGTGACAAAAAAAAAATTATATAGGGTCTGATTCTTCACTTTTCTCAATGGAGGTTCACCACAATGGTGAATTTAGGGAGAAGCCAAACAAAGTTTACATTGAAGGACATATGGATTGCATAAATGACTGTGATGTTAACTTGATGTCGCTTATTGAAATGGATGATATAGCCTCTACTATTGGATATGCTCCATACATTGGATATTATTACAGAATTCTTGGTATGGATTGGGACAAAAGGGCTAGTACATATGATTAGTGATGAACAGGTTTTGGATATAGTGCATAATTTGAATCGAAATAGGGTGGCTTAGGTATATTTTCATCATGTAGATGGTGATGTCTCAGTTGATAAGGGGAAAAGGGTAAGATCAAAGTGTGATGAATTAGACAGTGAATACCAACTTGACTCTGAATCTAGTGACTATGATTTTTTGGTTGATAATGATTATGAAAATGAGTAGGATGACATGTTGTGATGGTTATGTTGATAAGGAAGCTGAATGGACTGGTTTGAAGAGTAATAGGTAGAAAGAAATAGCAACAGACAAAGGGCAGCAGTTAGAACTCAATGACATAGATGGTGATTCTGAGGAGATTTTAAGTTGCTTCGGTTTATTTGATGGGGAAAATCATGCAAGAAAACATAAAAAAATTGAAGCATTTGGGGTAGAAAAAGATAAGGAAGACCCACATTTTAAATTGTGTATGTTATTTAGTACATCTAAGGAGATCAAGGTTGCCATTAGACAACATGCTATCATACATCAAAGAAATGTGAAAGTAGTAAAAAAGATAAGAGGAGGGTGAGGGCACAATGTGAAGGGGCTGCAGTTGGCTGGTTTATGATTGTAGAGTGCATGGTGAAAAAACATACTGAATAAATACATACATTGGTAAGCATACACGTGGGAAAACTTATAGTAACAAAAATATGAACTCAAAGATGATAGCATTGAAGTATATGGATGAACTAAGAATCAATCCTTGTTGGCCTATAAAGGCTTTTAAAAAGAGGGTTTCATGTTGACATATCAAGGAATCAATTGTATAGAGCAAAGAAAAGGGCAATGTTGTTGATACATGAAGATGAAATTGAACAATATGGTAGGTTGTGGGATCATTATGAGAAACTAAGGAAAGCTAACCTTGGTTCCATAAATATCTTGGATGCACCAGGTGATAAGGAAAATGGTGAACTTATATTTCAGAGGTTTTATGTATGTCTTGTAGCATGTAAGAGGGGATTTGTTCAAGGATGCAAGAAAGTAATTGGATTAGATGGTTGCCACTTGAAAGGGGCATATTGTGGACAATTGTTGACTGTTGTTGATATAGATGCTAATGATTATATGTTTCCTATTGCCTAATGTATTGTTGAGATTGAGATGAAGGAATCATAGGCATGGTTCTTAACAGTACTATGTACTGACTTAGGCATAACTGATCAAAACCATTAGTAGTTGAGTTAGAAGGTAAGTATTAATTATTTGTATATTCTGATAGATATTTTTATACTAACACATTTGCTGCAAGTATAATTATTGTATATTATGTGCAGGGTTTGCTTCTAGCATTGACTGAGAGAGTACCAGTATCTGAGTATAGGCATTATGCTAGGCACATGCTAAACAATTTCATTAGACACTTTAAAGGATTGGATATTAGGAAGAAATTTTGGAAATGTGCTAAGGCAACACATATTTTAGAATTTGACTATGAAATGAAAATGGTGAAAGAAGAAGAAGAGAAGGCATTTGATTAGTTGGCCAATGATCCACCAAGGAACTGGAGTAGGTCACACTTCAGAGTAGAACCCAAGTGTGATATTTTGTTAAATAATCTATGTGAGAGTTTTAATGGGGCAATTATAGAGGCGAGGGATAAACTCATCTTAGAAATGCTAGAATGGATTAGATGCTACTTAACTCAAAGAATGTTGAAGAGGAGAGAATGGGTTAGGAATTATAGTGGTGATATATGCCCTAAGATTCAAAAGAGATTAGAGAGATGGAAAGGTGATAGCTTTGCTTGTATTGCTTAGTGGCATGGTGAGTTGAAGTTTGAGATAAGGTGTATTAATGGAGGCCAATAAACAGTTGATTTGAAGGAGCGGTCTTGCTCATGTAGGAAATGAGACTTAACAGGGATCCCATGCCCACATGCCACAGCTTGTATCCAAAATAGGGGACAACAACCAGAAGACTATGTTCTTGGGCAGTACAAGAAGGGGGCATTCATGCAGGCTTATAAACCAATCATAAACCCCATTAATGGACATAAGATGTGGCCTAAAAGTGTATTGACCCATCATTGCCTCCATTCATTAGGAGACAACCTGGTAGGCCAAAAAAATTACGGAGGAAGGAACCTGTTGAGTTGATTTATAAAAAATAACCACATAAGTTAAGGAAATATGCAAATGTATCAGTTAATTGTAGAAGATGTGGTAAAATTGGGCATAATAGGAGGACTTGTTCTACTACACTGCCATAATGAAACCAAGCTGAAGGGAGCCAAGCTGCTATGAGCCAAGTTAGAGGGAGCCAAGCTGAAGGGCGCCAAACTGCTGTTAGCCAAGCTGGGGGGAGCCAAACTGCTGTCAGCCAAGTTGGAGGGAGCCAAGCTGCTGTCAGCAAAGCTAGAGGGAGCCAAGATATTGTGAAAAGAAGGTCTTGCTTTGAACAGGTATTTGTTGCTAAATAATTTCATTGAACTGGACACAATAAATCTTCAGGNAAAGCTGGAGGGAGCCAAGATATTGTGAAAAGAAGGTCTTGCTTTGAACAAGTATTTGTTGCTAAATAATTTCATTGAACTGGACACAGTAAATCTTCAGCTAATCCATTGAAATGCTTTTTCATTGAACTTTTTTGCTCATATCTTACCTTTTTCTCCATATAGCTTCAAGGTTGAACCATTGGTTCACCATCAACTACTAGCAATGAATTCATCATTTGTACTCGCAGGGATAAAATACCATTCAGAAGAAGCAAATCAACACGCACCCATAGCTGATCTGCAACTTCTCTCTCTCTCTCTCTCTCTCTCTCTTGGAGCTAAGCTTATATGCAATTTAAATGTATTGCTCTCTTTTGAGTTTGTAATGAGAATTTAAATGTGGCTTATAACCTTTTATGTACTCTTTGTTGCTCTCATTTTGGGTTTGTACTAAGAGACCAACTTGTAATTATGGACTTCTTTTTTTGATGCACACAAGTTGTTACATTAATGAAAATCAACATTATGGACATCTTTTTTTTTTATGCAAAGAGGTTGTTGCATTAATGGAAATCAGCATTATAGATAGGTTGACTAAAAGCAAAAAGGTTGTTACACTTCCAGTTGCATCAAACATAATAGTTACATTAATAGGAAATGGCACTTTCACAAGAAAAATAGGGGACCCTCCTACACAACAAAAACAGAACACCCTCTATACAAAAATAGAGCACCCTCCACAAAAAAATAGGTCACTCCTACTTATAGTAAATGCCATACCCATGTGAAAATAAAAAAGGTCCAAGAACAGAACAGAGCAACCCATAATATTTTTTCTCTCGCTTTTGCCTTTCGTTGCAAGTTCTCGTGTCTTCGCATTGATCGCAACAATTCATGTATCACATGTGTTGCTCTATCGCACATTAGCAGATCATACCAAACAAAAAATCCACACCCTCCAGCCTCCTACAAATGCAACATTTTGTTAAAGGAATTCAAAATCGAAAACTAATACTCATAGTAAACTTTAAAAAAAAATTCTAGAACATCTTTTTTACCCCATATCTTTCACATCCAATGAACCTTCTTCCTGGGTTGGTATTGGTCCATGAGGTCCTTATTTTTCCGATTTGTCTACAGTTGCATGGTGTTGCCTCCATTCCAGCTACAATTGATCCCTTCCTGTCCCCTCATTTTCTCCCTCTTTTATCCTATGCTCTGTAACAAATAAATAGAGTCATAGAGATATAACAACCATTGTCNACAACATCTCAGAAAATCAAGAAGTAAAAGTAAGAGAAAAGAATAAAAATTTAGTTACAATCTTCACGTTCTCTGTAGCCTTCGATTCCGATTTTCTTTGTGCTGCTTCCTTCAATCCTTGTATTCAATTTTCTTTCAATCACTTGGCTTTTCCAATATTAGCATCCCCCAAAATCATAATATCCCTTCACAACTCAAACCCTAGCTTATATGTAACTGTAGAGTCCAATTTCGGGTAAAAAAATAAGTCAACATTCGTGTCACGGACCAACACAAGCCCAGCTGCGCCAAAAATGGCGCAGGGGCGCTGAAGTACTGCCCTTGTTCGTGTCACAAACCCCTCGCCCCCTTTTTGGCCTAAAATTCCCTTTAAGTTTCCTCTTCAAAAATCCAACCTTTAAGCTCTAAATTGACCCTGTTTCCTCCCAAATGCTCATGATTCCTTCCAGATGATCATCCCTACACAATAACATCAAAACACACAAAATAAATAAAAAGGAACATAAAATAATTGAAAACTTGCAATTTCATCAAACTGAAAATACTCAATTTGCAGGTATAAAACCCGCTCATCAAATACCCCCAAACTTAAATCTTTGCTTGTCCTCAAGCAAAATACTAAGAACAAAAATTTTAAAAATTAATCAACCAACTATTCAAACAATGGATCAATATGAATTTGAATAATGGCCCCAAAAGTTCCTACAAAAAATAATTCATGGGAACTTCAAAACAGTGCAAAGTCTATCAATTCAACATACTTCCTAATTTTACTTTGAGTCATGACCTTTTAAATATATGGACATATCCGGACTATCAAGCTAGTCATCATCCAAATACATTTACATAATCAAATGCTTCATAGGAGATACTCAATATGAACTCTATAAACTTACGTTTCACATTAACCTCCACTCATTAAGGCAAACATATAAATAGAAGGGCCAAAGATTTTTTTTTTCCTCTCACTCTTTTTTTCTCTTTCGGTGAGTGCATTTTATGCTCTATCTCACCTCCTATTGAGCGAGTGCGTTTTATGCTCCATCTTGCCTTTACTTGAACGAGTGCATTTTACGCTCCATCTCGTTCTCCACATGTGTTTATGACTGAGTGCATTTTATGCTGCCTCTCTACTCACCATATGCCCATTTTCTTGCCTCTTGTTCTCCTATTTTTTTTTCATCTAACTTATGAAGGATCTACTCAAAATAATTTTCAAAAAAAATCTTTTTTTTTCTTTCTCTTTTTTTTANTAAGTGCATTTTATGATGCCTCTCTACTCACCACATGCCCATTTTCTTGCCTCTTGTTCTCCTATTTTTTTTTCATCTAACTTATGAAGGATCTACTCAAAATAATTTTCAAAAAAAATCTTTTTTTTTCTTTCTCTTTTTTTTATACGAACCNTGAGTGCATTTTATGCTGCCTCTCTACTCACCATATGCCCATTTTCTTGCCTCTTGTTCTCCTATTTTTTTTTCATCTAACTTATGAAGGATCTACTCAAAATAATTTTCAAAAAAAATCTTTTTTTTTCTTTCTCTTTTTTTTATACGAACCCATCATAACCAATATTTCTCCCAAACTTACATGAATACTTCAATTCACTTTGAATGATGTTTAAATAAGTTTTCTAAAGTTTCAATGATATCTCCCACAAGCATTCAACCAAATAAATTCTCTAAATAATAATCAAACAGATGGATATGTGGTCATGAATGAAAAGATCACAAACATTATAAAACCAACTANAATTTCAATGATATATCCCACAAGCATTCAACCAAATAAATTCTCTAAATAATAATCAAACAGATGGATATGTGCTCATGAATGGAAAGATCACAAACATCATAAAACCAACTAGTATGTCAAACTATAGACTCAACATGTTCATTAATTTCCCTTAAATTGACAATTAATTCCATTCATCATTGGCCATAATCAAATTCAATCAACCCATTGCTTAAGTCGTACTAAATCATGTTATTTAAGTGAAAAACATGCTATCTAAATGCATACCTAATAATGCAAATGCAAACAAGAAAACACCCCCAAACTTAAACTAAAAATTGTNTTAAATTGACAATTAATTCCATTCATCATTGGCCATAATCAAATTCAATCAACCCATTGCTTAAGTCGTACTAAATCATGTTATTTAAGTGAAAAACATGCTATCTAAATGCATACCTAATAATGCAAATGCAAACAAGAANTAGGTATTTCAAAAAGTCTCATCCGGACACCAAAGACCCATCCTAACGGTTTGAAGTCTCTGGAAAATGCGTCCTAAAGCAAGCTTTGCGTTCGAACACCTTCCTTTGTGAGTAAGACATTTGAACTTCCTTTCAGAATTGACTCCAAGTTTGGAAATTGACTCCGAATTTTGAAATTTTTGAAAATAAATGTGAAAATTTGGGAAAAATCAATCATTCTCCCATCCTCAAGTTGTCACTGAAAATTAATTCTCTAAACTTTTAAGGGCATCACAATTATCTGTTACTTTCCTATTCTATATGCATTATCCTAATTAATACTAATTACAAGTACTAAAGTAAATAAAATAAACATTCATCACAAACGACACAGATTATGCATCAAACACTATCTCACCCCAAACCTAAATTACACATTGTCCTCAATGAATACTTAAAGCAATAAGTTGCATAAAAATGTGTTGAATAGGTGAAAAGGCATACCTCTATCCGCAAAATTAGCACCAAATCTATCACTAAAAAGGAACTTACACAGGAAATTTAATAAAACAAAAGAAAATTA